GAGTTTAAGTTTGGCATATCTAGAGCAGATGTTCTATAACATATATTCCAGTTTTAATTTTGAAAGTTGTTGGTATTTTCGGGGTGTTATACTTCTGTAGTTTTGATGGTCAAAATCAATTTTTGATTGGAAACAAGAGTTGGCAGTTTGGTAGCGCTGTTTATGTTACATCTTTTTGATCTTGAATATTTTTCGTTATCTTCAAAACTGTAAGCGTGACAGCTCTTCCCGCTAAACCTTTTATTGGGTCGAAAATGACAGAACATGACATTTCTCTGACGTCATTTGTGACTAACCTTTCATAAGAGCTCTGGAAAAGTTTTATCACAAAGTGTAAAAATGATGCCCGGAGGGGTCTTGAAAGTTTGGTGGCGACATTTGCTATACTTTAGGAGATATCGACTGAAAAGGAGAGAGGGGGCCGTTTCGCGCCGCCCTCCCCCCCCCCTCAACGGGGCTTTCAGTTGCTGCTCTCACAGAATCACAGAACTCTTGGTTATATTACAACGTAGTGGAATTGCAAGTGGCAATATAAGCTTCCTGCCAGCGCCGGACCAGAGTTTAAACATGCAGGCTGAATTTTAACATTTAACTTTTGAATTTTTAAACCGTTGAGCTTTTTAGAAGGTGTATGAACTGTTCAGCTCCTTTTTTGGTCCATCACAGCGGGCTTGTATGTCATTTGTCAACCAAAATCGAATTAAAAACTTTTTATTTGGTCTGGCTACCTCGCCAACTTCTTAAGTGGATCGTTTAGTAGCTTTTGATTGGGCACTGCCCACGTTGTCTGTCTAGCTTTTCGTGTCATAGACACTGTCTATGACACGAGAAGAGGCTGCTGACATCGTTTGTCGCGGTTGGATAATACCAATCCACGTCCCAGTTGCAGTGGCTGCTCGATCGCACTTTCCCTGGCCCACCTCTCCCACCGGCCACCAGGCTAGACTTTGCCCGGCACAGCCGTCGCCTCAGTGCCTCGGGCGGTGACCCGTTCAAAGGGGCTCACAATTCGTATGGTGCCGTGGCTCTCAAACCAATACAGAACAGTGAAACGCAAAGGCTCACTTTCCATATAAGGCGAACGGCTGATTCTGGCACCGGGGCCCCATTCATGCTAAGGCGCCCAATCACAGCGCTGCATTTCAGTTAGTGTCGGGCGCAAAATCTACTATGCTCCGCCCCTCCATCACGTGACCCTGCCCTCACGTGGCCTCAGTCACGTGGTGTTTCCACTTCTTGGCGCATGGCGGCGCTAGTCTCGCAGGGGCGGTGGTAGCTTGCTCCCCCGCCGTCCGGGGGTGATGGGTAGCAACTGCTGGTGACTGTACTTTTTAGGTATCAAATAAGTTCCTCTGCGAAAGTTCCGTCGTGAAAACGGCCACAATCTAGTTTTAAAATGCGTCTTCCTCTTCACCATATTCAGAGTTCCATCGGAAGGGTTAAAGTGAAAGGAGATACGAGTCCTGTTCAGACAGCGGTTCGTATCCTTACCCCCCACCCAAGGATGACGGCTCCACCTCTGACCGACTGACCCACCTGTCTGTGTATGAACACGACGGAGCCGAGCAGTCGCCACGTGCCGCCCTGCCGGTCCACGTGCAGCATGCGCAGGATCTGCAGGAAGCGGATACCGCGGATGGCGGAGGTGGCGAACACCTGACCGTTGGAGCCCACCGAGAGCACCACGATCGACGCCACCACCACTATCAGATCTGAGGGAGACACAGACTCAGTCATCAGGGCCCGTAGTATAGCGACCAGGGCTACGCAGAACACAGTTCACACCACGATCGAGGCCATCACCACAATTAGATCTGAGACTGAGACCATCACAGACTCAGTCAGCATAAATAGGACAGGTAAGGCGGTTCGCGTAGGGTCACATCACGATCGAGGCAAACACCACAATCAGATCTCGAGCGACACGGACAAATGCAGAACGTTAGTAAAGTCGGCAGGCAGGGCTATTTGCAGTTCGCTCCACCACCACAAGATCTGGAGAATTCGGAAACAAGCAGATTAACACCACAGTGTCGGTAACAGCACTTCACACACTTCACATTTCTGTATTGTAAGAAGGACCAAACACGAAACAACAAAGGCGTATGTGATTTCGTTGTGTGTTTCAGTTCACGCTGCACTAAATAAAGGAATAATAGTAGCACGGTTCATGGAGAGTAGTAGCCGTCGACAAATGTCAGGCATTAAGACCCAAATCTTAAGGCCATTATGTAGCAGTCTCGCTGTAATTTCGTGAGCCTGCGAGCTGCAGTCACTGGGACTACATATACCTCCAGGCTCCACGTCACTTCCGTCCGCCAGCTTCACTCGTTCATCAGCTACGCCCACTCTCCTTTCTTGTGCGCTATGGGTGTTTCGTGTCGTTCTCTAAGCAGATTTAGCGTCCATTCAGTGTGACCGCAGCCCACCCACGCATCGGGCCGCTCGTAGTCCACCCCTGACCGCACGTGCTCGCCTGCCGAGCTCCGGGCACGACCATCGCTTTCCCGAGGTGAGGCTAGGATCAATGCCACGGCCGAGGGCGGACAAGCCCACGGCACCGGCACAACGCGATACGCGCTGGAAACTGCACACCTGGCCAATGTCAATGTGTAGCCTAGATTGTGTTCCAGTGTACTCGCTTTGTTGAATGGGTGAGCGAGCGTCGAATGATCGCGGGAGCGGCTTTGTCGGAGATACGAGTGTCTGGAAGCGGAGAACGGCGTGTTTTATTACGAGAGCTGCTTTTATCCGTAAGTCTTTTTCCAACTGGTGGGTCCCATTAGCCAAATTGCTTTCTTCTTGGAAAAGTCATAGCCACAAAAGAATGAAGACATGTGTAGTGTATTGTGTATTGTAACAAGATTGTCGGACTTGATTTTTCTTTAATGATGGTCGTGGTTTCGCCCATACATATAGGTGGAGTTATATTCAAACCTTAAAAATATTTTTAGTTGCTTTTACTTTCGACTATTTTACAACTTTTTGGTAAAATTATTTAAACACAGACACACTGAGAGTTGTTTTTGTGTTTATAATTTGGGAGAAAAATTATAAGAAATTACATTTTGGGCCATTCCAATTAACCCGCGCCCTGCTGGGGGGGGGGGGTGTTTGAACACCCCCCCCTTGTGGTTTTTCGCGAATATCTCAAAAACGTTGGTACACCTTATCATACATCAATTCTACACATGTTGTGAAAATTTCAGACCAAGGTCGTTCAAGGTCAGGTCACCGGGTCACTTGAAGTGACCTCACCTCATAAAAAGTTTCAAGGTCTGTCATAGCTACACCGAGTGATCGATCGCTTTGAAACATTCAGCGATTGCTAAGAGCAATAGCATGTACAAAATGTATATCTCAGAATTTTGATATCGATGACCTAAGGTCAGGTCAATTTTGCGACCTCCCCATTATAAGTCAATGGGAGAAAATTGAAATGCGCCTCTTTTGGACGAAAGACATTATAAACACTCCCAAACACTGAATTACAAGTGTTTTAGACACACTGAACATGAAAATGGTGTCCGTGACCCCTGTTTATGCCCTGAGGTCATCTTAGGTCACGAATGGTATCTAACAGTTTTTCGCAAATAACTTTTGATAGAGGCATGCTAGAGCGATGAAAACGCCTTAGATGTGTTCAGCTCGACGATACGGATCGACTGATATGCAACATGACCCTTTCCGGTCAGGTCATGACCTTGACCTGAGGTCAAATTTTCAAGTTGACCTTTCAAGGTCAAGTTATAGTTCATTCGATGCGTCTTGACGAGAGGAACACGATGCCGGTAAAAGTAAGCTCGTACAAGGCTTGGGTCGAAAGTTATTGCAGAAAAACTGTTTCCGAAAAAAAAAATCGGCTATTTTTTCAGTTTTTGCCCCCTGCAGGGAAAACCGTTGACGTTAGGTCAAATCTGAGAAGATTACTCAGAAAGGGCGTTAATAGGGCTATCGAATGCGCTTTTCCGCGGCGCTGTAGCTCTATTGGTTCTCGAGTTATGCGTTGGCTTCTTGGAAATTGTTGACATTCGACCTGGAAATCGGCGAAATTTTACCTTCAATGACCTCTGGTGACCTGACCTTTGACCTGACCAAAAAATTGACCGAAGTGATTTCCTCATTATTTTTGACGCTCTTTCGAACGCCGCCTTCCGCGTATCGCTACGTGGCCCAGGAGCCGAGTTAGAAGGGGGGGTGTTCAAACACCCCCCCCCCCAGCAGGGCGTGGAAATCCAGGACCCCCAGCCGGGCGCGGGTTAATCAAGAGAGCAATGCATGGATGTACCTAAAATGTAGGATTGTATGTATGCACAACTCAAAAGGAAATTTTATTACGAGACCTGCAGTTCCTATTTTAGATTTTACGCCATTTCTGAAATTGCAGAACAAACGAAATGTAAATTGCTGTGGCACAGGGTGACGATGAAAGATAAGCCAGATCGAATAATTACATAATTATACCGGGAAGCTCGGGGCCTCCCGCGTGTCAGTCTCGCTGACTTGCGCATGAGATATGCTGAATTTGCAGCCACTGTTGTGTGCAAAATGAATAATACCAGTAGGTGGAGACCCATGGCTGTCAACGAGTCCGTTGTCGGGTGCCTGGTGGCGTGGTGCTGAATGATGCAGATCCGTTGAAGGACTACGAGCGCCAGACCTGTCTGTCCGGGTCTGGGGCCTGGTGGCAGCTCTGGTGATCAATGATTCAGACTCGTTGAAGGATTGCTGACGCCAGACCTGTCTGCGTGCCTCCATGAACTCACCGTTCCCAGGAGGTGGAACAGACAGTGGGACCGCTTGATGGGCACTCGAGCCGGGCGGAATCGGGGTCCGTGTCAGAGCAGGCTCACTCGCTGGGCACGAGCATAACTACCTAACTCAGGTCTGTAATCGGTGCCTCTGAAGGGAACTGAAATAATAACACGAGAAGAGACACCAGACCACCAGCGCTTATAAAAAATGCCGTTATGGTACAGATTGACTGCCAGACTGCTCAACCGCAACGCTCGCATTCAGATTGTTTTTGTGAAATTTCGATTGGTTTGAGTCTCCTGGCGCTGGGATCAAATTAAATATACGCATGCAAGCTTATCTTACTCCTTATTTGAATATGAAAAATGTTTCTTTTCATAAGACATAAAGTGTTCGCAGTGACATCAAAGAGCAGCCGGAAGCAGGCAAAAGAAAATAACCTTATCTTTATTTACTATAATTAATTATGGATTTTTGCCGGATGCTCCGACAAAGTGTCTTGTCCTCGCTGATCGTTACGGCGGGTGGAAGCCGGCGGCCGGCCGAGTAAGCCGGCACTGACGGGTTTCCCGGCTCTCTAGCGATCAATATTCGACAAAATGGGTCCATTTAGCGCTGTCGGAATGTCTGAGCATGACCCGGGCCATAACTCACCGGGCCACAAAGCCTGCCACCGGCTCTCACACAGGGTGGCCAAGAGCGGCGCACTGTCGGCCGTTCCGCTTCCTCACTTCCCACCATTACTCGAGTAGACCGCCGCGCCGCCTGGTCCGGTCCAGCGGTTACCAGCCCGCCGCGCCTGGTCCGGTCCAGCGCGGACCAGCCCGCCGCGCCGTCCGGTCCGGTCCAGCGGTGACCAGCCCGCCGCGCCGTCTGGTCCGGTCCAGAGCGGACCGCCGCGCCGCCTGGTCCGATCCAGTGCAGCGGTGACCAGCCCGCCGCCTGGTCCGGTCCAGTGCAGCGGTGACCAGCCCGCCGCGCCGCCTGGTCCGGTCCAGCGCGGACCAGCCCGCCGCGCCGTCTGTTCCCGAGACACGGTTCACCCGAGGGCCGGTCTGAGACCGCTCACTTTAATCACGGCGCGGCGGGAGAGGCAGTGGGACAGACAAGGTAGCTGGTTTGCCCAGTACGACAAGGGCGTGGTGAGGCAGCAGACAGCCAGAATAGCTTGCACGTTCCGTGCCGCGGAGGAGTGGGGATAGAAGAAAATCAGGGTGGCTCGCCCGTTCCGTGCCAGAGTGCGTGACGCGCGCACGTGAGTCGCTTATGTTCGGCCCCGCACGTCACACACCTGCTGCATTTATAACACGTGTGAGGGGTACGTGGCGTGCGCACGCGACACGGGTGTCGATCGGTCGGTCTGTGGAGGATGGAAGCCTGCCTCCTCAGGCCAGCCGCCCTCCTCAGGCCAGCCGAACGCCGACTCCAATCAGTCCCGTACTCGATTTACGATTAACAATGAAATATTAGCCACCATTGAACGTTATGAAACTGGAATGAAATACTGCCCGCCACAGTAAAGACAGACTGCCTTCATAAGCTGATATCGGATCAAGTGCATGCGGTTTGTGTGTTATGCTGTGGCAGAAACCTAAAATAGTCCAGGGTTCATCGGGTCCTTATTTCCCTAATTGAATTACTTGTAGAGTACAAACACTGAGAGATTAATGCATTAGCCTTATGGTTGTCAGCATCGATATGCAGTTTGTCCAGTCACCGGCAAAACAAAATGGAACATAATGAACATAAAATCTTTTAGGTTGATGTGAAGCAGAGCTTTTAAAGAAATGACTTATTTAGCACATATGTCTCTAAGTGATCCGGTATGAACGGTAACACAATCGGTCCCAGCACGCCCTGTTTCCCGAGGTACTGGTATGCCTGCAGAGCCGTGGACAGTGACGCACGTAAGGCATAACGTAATTGGATGAAGGCACGGGACTGAATTAGGTTTGGCCTGCTGCGTTAATTAAACATTACTAATTAAGAATGCTACGGCATTAATTTGGTGACGTGACTACTGGGCGGAAGACAGCCAGCACGCACGCGATGCGTGGGTTAAAACAGAAGCAATTTCGTTCTTCACTTAATGTTTAATCATTCGTCAGTAATCAAAAGGCACGGAAGTCCGAATGACACACCAAGGAGCAGGAAGGATGACCAAAACCCTTACAGATTGTGTTTTGTGTGCAGTATCGCAATCATGAGATAGCTCCCTATTATTAGCCACTGGTTATATAAATGTCCGCTGTTCTGCTTTCTTTCCGAGCTGTCTTAACCCTATTAGTGGCGGGGGGGGGGGGTTGTTTTCATCCACCCCTCAGGTTTTTCGGGAATATCTCCGAAACTGCTGAAGCTACGATGCTGAAATTTTCTGACTTTTCCTAAAACTAAATTAGGCATATTCCCTGAAATTTTCAAGTTAATAACTTTACCAGGGGCGGCTCCAGAGCACTGGGAATTGGGGGGTCCTATTCGTGAAGCGAGTCATTTGGGCGAAGATCACGATGCTGATGTATTATAACTGTATGCACCAGTTTTACGAACAGTGAATGAAAGGTATCATGTGATAACATATAAGTTATTGTGCATCCTCTTTTGACACGTTTTTGCTATAATAGGCGGATCCAGGCGTCCAACAAGGGGGGTTATGTTTTACCTCCCAACATAGGTGCCCTGACACCGCCTATGCATGACCAATACAATTGTAGTCGTTCTCTCATAAGAAAATTGTAACATAACAAG